TATTAACTTGCCATGAGTTTTCACATAGAGTGAAGTTCAAAAATTTTCCTTGTTACCACTACGAATAATTTTGGGAAGAGTTTAATCCGCTGGGGATTTTATGAGAACATTTGTTATTCTTATGTAAAGGAATAAAAAGGTTCAAAGAGAGGGGGTTTTGGAATGTTAGATGTATGATGTTAACGTATCAACAACTTATAGACTTATCATCCTATTGAAAGAGATTGATAAGTGGATTGGATCGTCAGAGGTAAAGTATTAACGTGACGGGAAAAATGTTGCGATCGATGTAACTTTGAAGACCTATCGCTCTATTGGGAAGAGTCGATAAGTAGATTTTATCAGAGGTGTGATATTAACGTGACAGGAAAAATATTATGATCAGGGTAATTTTTAGGAATTATCGCTGTATTAGAGAGAGTCGATAAGTAGATTTTGTTAGAGGTGTGATATTAACATGATGTAGGGTCGAAAAATTGATGTTGGGATTGATTTTCTTGTTTTAAGAAATGGGTTCGATCACTTGGTACGAAACCCTTACAATCACTCACACTCTCTCTCGATTACAGATGAAGAGAAGATTAATTCAGCCTCTCTTTGTTTAACGTGGGTTCTAGGTAGCGAAAGGATGCTTACCCTGATGCTTGAGTCGAGCTTGCCTCCCGTTGACGATCAGAACAAGATCACAAGAGCTTCTGACCTTCGTTAGCCGGCTGGAATCGAGGTTCACCCTCTGGACTTACACACAAAAGCTCTGATTTCTGATGATTAAAAGTCTTAATTAACCAACCAACCCTCTTCTCTGTAGCCATCTGTGGCTATTTATAGGGTTTGGGCACGTAACTGACGTGCTACAATCGTGGAATCGTGGGCGTAACTGATGCACTAAAATTATGGAGTGGCGTAACTGACTCCTTGAATTTATCCCACGTGGCTGATTGGGTCTTCGTGGCAGTTACAGCCTGATTTAATGTGGGCAACGAACTTCACTGCGTTGGCGAACCTCGTCTTTGATGTCGAGCCTCGCCGCGTGACGAGCCTCGTGTTTGATGTCGAGCCTCGCTGCGTGGCGAGCCTCGTGAGCCTCTTTGATAATGAGCTTCGTCTTTACTGACGAGCCTTAAGTCTGATGACAAACTTTGTTTTCATTAATGAACTTCACCTCCAATGATGAATTCCGAACCTCGTATCCAATGACGAGACTCGAACCTCGTATTCAATAATGAGCTTCATATTTGATAGCTAGAGTCCAACTCATGTCCAATGACGAGCTTAGAACCCTGTATCTACTAGCGAACCTCGAACCTCATGTCCAATGGCGAGCTCCGTGTCTCGTAGATACGCTTCGTTCAATAATGAACTTTATCCTTCGATGTTGAGTTCTGCTGCATTGTGACTCTCGTTCTCGAGGTTGATCTTTTCTAAATAACGAACCTCGTTTCTGATTGAAAAGTGGTTCGTCTCCCTGACCCTTCTTTTCACCTTTTGAATTTTAGCATTTTTTTAATGTTTACAAAACCCCCTTCAAAGTTTTTAGACTTGAATCGGGTTGTATGTAGTCTGAAATACTATGAATAGGTATCTCGAACCTGAGGAGTTTATTTCACGAACCTGGTTTTGTCATGAACCTTATGTTTGTGAAAGTTACTTTGAGGTTCGTCCTGTAGTTTGCCCCTTTATACGAGCCTTGTCAGAATAACCATCGTCTGACAACTGACCCCTCGCAGCTTCGTCAGCATCACTGCTATGCACCTTTCCAAGATCTAGCGAATGGTTGCTAGCTGGTAATTGGAAATCCCTATGAATCCCGTCCGTAGATCTTGTTGGGGAGAGATCTCATCAAACGACCTTAACTGAAGATCGCGACCCTTGATTCAACCCTTTTCCCGCCCCTATAAATAGAGTATCATAATATGAGAAGTCTTTTCTTCTCTCTTCGTCGTTTGGATTATCTAAACTCCTTCTCTTCTCAAAATTCTGATCTTTCTCTCTTTGCAAATCCTCCAAGTGAAATCAATAGCCCCTAAGACCGCTGTAGACCGAAGCAAGAGTAAGGGTAAGAAGGTTGCTGGCTCTTCACACGAACCTGGCGCTCTACCCACTTTTTTAGGTAATAGATCTTAAACGCATGGTTTGTGTTCTGAATGATGTCAACCTTGTCTATTTTAGACTTGGGTTTCTTGAGAAAGATGAACAGTTTCTCCCAGACTCATCATAAAGATGACGTCTTTTCGGCTGGATGAGGCTCGTCATCGATGATTCTCGTCTTTATGACTTGTTTTGTCTTTCGATGAGCCTTATCCACAAATTGCACTTCACATGTCCAACGTCGTTGGCTATTTTGACGAGGGTTATCCTCTATAAATGTTAAACAAAATTCGTTTATATGATGAGCTTCGTCTTTCCATCGACTATGTTCGTTGGATTTGCGAATTTTGTCTTCGGATGATGAACTTCATGTTCTCCAACGAACCTCGCTGAACTGACGAACCTCGTTATCCCTGTCGAGGTTCATTATTCCAACGAACTTTGACGTTCGTTACCAGAATAACCTTCATATTATTTTGGCCGTGACTGCTGCTTGAGACTAACCTTGTTCATCTTTTTATGCAGTCACATATCCTTCTACTCCACTTCCCCAACGTGGTGATCTCGGAGTGGATTGTACTTAAACATCTGCAATTCATCCTCTTTACTATGCCCTTGAGAGCATTCCTTTGTTCAGAGAACGGGGGCTAGAAGAAGTGGATCTTCTTTCTGACCCTTCAGTTTCCATATTTAGGCGTATGATCACTGATGCTCCATTAGAGTCTATCAATCGTGAACCTATTGTGAAGCCTGTTCTCTTATTCGGAGACTCTTCGGAGGATCCTGACTTGCTAGATATCGGGATATATGAATTGCTTAGAACTGTAAACGGACGAAACTTGTTCTTGCCTCGGATGGAGCGTGATGTTTCCCTTACTTCTTTGAAGATTGTCTCGGCTCCCAGGAGAATGGACTGGGATTTAACCCCAGTATAAGATGGGGTCATATGTGTCCACTTTTCTCATAGCGGCGTCAAGATAGATAGATAGTGGTGGTCGTTACATCACCGGATTGCACCCTAGGCTTTTCTAAAAAGAACTCCCGATTGGTGAGACTGCTGAAGAGGCTAACACTTTTGGCGTGCGTTCTTTAGGAGAAACGATCAATTCCCTACTAAGGACTTTAGAACTCCAGGGTAGTCTCTTTAGAGTCCTACACGATGGTGGCCTCGTATCACTGAATACATTTTGCAGGAGAACCAAGAAGACCTGTAAAGGATTGGTCTTTATGCGTCCATCAGAGCGACACAATTCGGGTTGATCAATAACTCCCACCAGTTCTTTGGTACTTTGGAGTTGTATAACCCTACAACCCGTACTTTCTTTACTCCTGATGGAGAGATAGGGATTGCTCTTCACAAGATGGAAGAAGTCTCTGGGCTACCAAACGGGAATTATCCGTATGAGGAGTATATCCCAGGTCAACGGGAGTTAGTTGCTCTGGAGAAGGAGCAACCCCAAGTAGTAGAGACCTTCTGGGAGTTTATGTGTCATTATCACATTTGTATAAATGTGGAAGGACGGCTCAATAAGAAGGGTGAGAGACTCCTCAGCCATAGCACCTGGGCTCGATATCTCTTCAAGAATGTGGTTCCCTTGGGTCCTTGCGACGCGAGTGAATTGTCGCGACGGGTACTTACTTATCCTCCCGTGCATCGGGTATCAGACTCAGATGAACAAGGTTACCCTGTTAGTACCACCTTTGAGAGTCACTTCTTTCAAGGTGGAGAGCCTATTTCTTCTATGGCTTTACTGGCAGGGTATCTCATGCTATGGCTCCATCAAATCGTCATTGTTTCTGGAAGTTTCGACTTGTTGCCAATGGAGGTGGTGTTCCCTACCGTATGTTTAGCGCACGGCCGTTCTTATACCCTTCTCCCTGCCATGTTCGCCCACATTCATTATGGATTATGGAGCTTATGTTACTAATTTTGTTGAGGTAACGAGAATCCAAAGGTTGGCTTGCCATACACTTATTTCATGGTATGGGTTGTTCTACATTGTCCAACCCTTATGGGTACGCCTTCTACTCGTAGAGAAGGTGAAGTCCTTCCCTTCATTCAGAGGTTAGAGAATTTAGATTGAGAGCACCATTAATTGGCCTTGGTGAGGCGCATTCTCCGCGACCACAAGAGATGGGAATTCAATCGATGCTTTCCTCATTTCTCCGGAACCAGTTCTGGACAGGCCTTTGTGGATGCATCCAATGGTCAGGGCTATTCTTCTTTATCATTTGGCTGCTTCATGTGGCTTATAACCATTCTCCCTGGGTATCATATTTATCGTTTCGGCCCAGTGTGCGTGTTGGAGCCTTACTTGCCTTGTCGCTTCGCTCATATTTATCGTTTCGGCCCAGTGTGCGTGTTGGAGCCTTACTTGCCTTGTCGCTTCGCTCGCCAATTTAACTACACCCAGTTATACGTTGGTAATCCCAATACTCAACTGATATCTGAGGGTTGTAGCTTAATCATTAGGGCCAGAGCTTGGTATTGGACCATTGCCGGTGGCACGGGTGCTCGTTTCTTGCTTCCACTAAAAAATCCACAGCTTCGGACCACACTTGCTTATTGCAAGTGGCATTACATGGCAAACGTAGTGATTCCCAACTTCAACGTAAATTCATCGGGATTGCGTTACATCTGACGCCGATACAGATCCGGGAATGCTTCTAGGCAAAGCCGTATACCATGGCTCAAAGATTTCTTGCATGCTGAAGAGAGTGCTGGGGTAGAGGAAACCACTCCTCCTAGCCCTCATGAGACTCAGGAAGAGGTAGACGCGGCTATAAATGAGAGTGCATCTCGTAGATCCCCTCATGTTGATGAGTACGGGAGCCACATGCCTGCTGCTTTCGATATTGGAGATACTCTTTGAGATGGAGCAAATCTTGGTGGATTTGAGGATTTTGCCTCCATGGACGAGCCTTGCGAGTCTGCTCCATGTGGGTCTACTACTGAAGGCTCTCATCGACAATCCCCAATTCTCAAAGAACCACATCCCGACCAAGGGATTACCGGTATGCCAGCTTTGACTTGTCTTCATTTTGACTTGTTTCCCTTTGATACTTCTTATTCAGAACAAACTACAGAAGAAGAGGCCCCCAGACAAGTAGGGGAAAAGTCTAAGGAAATCGGGCGAATGCGCAAGTCTAAATGCGTCGCCAAAAAACCAAGGCGTAATGTTTCTCCGCCCATGACTCCTTTGATAGAGTCACTCAATGTTAAGACAGATTCGGAGATTGAGGATGAGATTCCTTTAGCTCGACTCCGCTCTGGACTGCGTTCGGCCCCGAGTACTCACGTCGAAGACGCTCCTGCTGATCCTAGTAAGATAGGTGTATAGTCATTTACCTTTCTGGATTTCTAAGATACTAACGACTTTGTTCGACATGCTTAGTTGTTTCCACAGATTCCACTGCCTTTACTGATGCAGGTATTGAGGCGAGACCGGCTTCTGATGACCCTGCTAGAAGTAGGGTACCTCCAAGTTCAGCTATGGAATCAGGCCTAGCTGATAATCCGACTGTTGACCCTGAAGAAGTTGAGGGAGTTGAATTTGCTCCAACCACCATAGCTGAAGCTGAAGCCACTATGGACACAAGTGTTGTGTCTACCAGTTCCATTACGACGACTGAGACTTGCGTCGTACCAAGTACCACAGTCGCTGCTGCTCCTACCACTACTGCAATGGTTGCTACAACTACTGATGCTCCCACCGTATGCCATGCGCCGCCAGTCTTCACAACAGCTAGGGTTTCTTCTACCGCTACTCATGCAACGGTGTCCTCTAGTAGCACATATGCTTCTTCTCCATCTTCGGTGAGAAATTTTGCCGTATCAAAAATATTGGAGAACTTTCTCAGCATTCTGAGAGAATCCTCCATTCAGATTTTGGACCATGGAGGGAATTTTGCAGACGTTAAATAGGTGCTGGTGCCCTTCTTGGACTTAATAAAGAGTTTGACCTCTGACCTTGCAGTATTACCGTATTGGTTGCACCTGACCAAGGTTGAACATCTTTTTAATCAATGGGAAAATCGTCGGTCTCGATCTCTTTATCCTTTGGCTGAAGAACAGGCTATGCAAACTATGAGTCAAAGGGATGACTCCTTATTTGAACTTAACCATCAATTGCTTGAGACTAAGCAATGGATTAAGGAGTTCAAAGAGATCGAAGAGAATTTGTCCCGAGAGGGTAGAAAGGTTGCAAACGCTGAACTTCAAAAGCAACATAAGGTCGACCATCTTCAAGCTCAAATCAAGGCTCTTCAGGCCCAACTGGCAGAGGCTGAAGCTGAATTGATAGGCATGACGGATAAGAAGCAGACATTGGCTTCAAAACAAATGCAGCATCAACCCTTGCTTCAAGCTGAAATTGATCGAATGGGGCAGTTAGAAAAAGCTATAAACGACATGAGCGTCTATTCCGATTAGGAGTTATGTAGAAACGCTTTGGCTGATGTTGAGGTAGAAAACCAGGAATCCATAGCTAAGCTCGGTGAGGAAATTCGTCAGATTACTGGATCCATTTAGCTCCTCTTTTATCGGACTTTTGTAACCCTTTTCTTCATATGCTTTCTTTTTATAAGTATAATTTCGGACGTCTTTGTTCACTAACTCTATTTTACACCTCAATGCGTAATCTAATGCCAAAGTTCACGAACTTCATTGTTTTACGATTTACGGCTTGAAGTAAGAACCTTGTTACTTTGACACGAAGTTGGATTCAAATTTCAATTCGTATTTGACGTAACGAAGCTCTAATCTCGTTCAATTAATCCTCGGTGTTTGAACCCAATTATTGGAATGACCTTTGTGGGAAACAAGGTTTAAATCCAATTTCAATCAGGTTCTCCATATTTGAGTAAAATTCAAGGAGCGACCTTCGTCGAAGATGAGGTTCGGATCCAATTTTGATCAAATCTCAATACTCGAGTATAGCTAGAGGAACGACCTTCTTCGAAGACAAGGTTCGGATCCAATACTTGAGTATAATTAGAGGAATGACCTTCGTTAAGAACGAGGTTCAGATCCAATCTCAATCAAGTCTTAACACTTGATTACAATAGGGGGATGACCTTCGCTGAAAACGAGGTTTGAATCCACATTCAATCAAGTTTCAATACTTAAATCTAGTTTGAAATAGCGATCCTCGTTATTCTTGACATAGGAACGAGAATAAATCTAGTTTGACATAGCAACTTTCAACGTTAAGTCTTGAGTACTTAATATGTCGTTTTGAGCCACGTTTTCTTTGGCGTTAATTACAAACACAATTGATTGGGCCGCTTTGTTCTCAGCACCTTTTGGCGATTCGGTGCTTAGGGATTCGTGTAACGCATCCCAGCCACTTGGTTGGCTCTTTCGCCTATAAATAGGCACTCGCTTTTCGAGAGAACTCATCTTCCTCTTCTGTGCCTTGTTTCCAAAATGATTCAAAGGAAACGAACCACTTTAAGACTTCCACCTTTGCTTCCTATTAGACTCCAAGCTCCGATGATCATCGTCGGTGACGTAGGCAAAGTTGATAACTTTGTCACTTCAGGTAACTCTTCTGACCCGATCCTTGACCTCTTAATCTTCGTAGTCATTCGCTCATTTAAGGATTTCTCAGTGCTCTAGAGTCAAAATCAAGACATTTTTCGTCAACTTGTTGGACTTTTGAATGTAATCTCGAAGAGATATCTTAAATTCAAATATGCTTGCTATTTTGACATGCCATGTACCCCCAAGCATGCAGTCCCTTTGCTAGACTTTGATCTATGTGGCAGCTTCACAGGCTCAGTGAAGTGCTTCTTTTAGGAGTCAGCAACAATATTAGTGCCGTCTTCACGTTCTGCAGAGATGGGAGAAGTGCTGATCCAATGTTCAGAGCTTGTGGTGTTTCAATTAGTAGTCAGTTTACCCAAGTAGGTAAACGTGTGCTACAAGCACCAAAGTTAAAAGTTGGGTATAGGGAAGACTTCATGCCCATGAACGGAAGATGGAACATCAACAATAAGACTGCGTGTTTGCTGCGGACGAGGTTTGTAGTGCAATCTCGAAGGTCGTCAAAAACTTGTAACTAAACTTCGTACTATAGCCTGACTGTTGTCAAAAGAACTTGTAACCGAACCTCGTATTGTAGCTGAAAGAACTTGTAACTGAACCTCGTATTGTAGTTCAAGTCTTCTAAGTTCAATCTATGTACTTCGAGTTTCTGTACTTTTAACTATATATGAATAAAATTTATATTTTATCCACATATTATTCTCTTGAAGCATTCTAACTTAGGATTTTTAGCAAACCCTCAGCTGTCAATGGACTTGAGTGGTCTTTACCAACTGTCGTTTGAGTTGGACTAGCCATACTTTTCCCCTCAGTATGATGAGTTGTCAAAGAGTTTCTCTTAGACTTCAATGCTAAGATTTCTCTTCTATAGTTTCTCTTAGACTTCAATGCTAAGATTTCTCTTCTATCCTTAGTCACTTTTAGACCCCATATCAAATGTGAGGTTCAAAATATAACTAAGTATTAAGGACGAAGTTTGACACATGGCAGATTTGTCGAGAAAACGAACGTCATTTTGTAAAAAAATGGCGACGTTAGGAATATTAAGTCGTTTAATGACTTACGATAAAGAAAACCAAGGCTTTTCACTCGGTAAACCAATGTAGGAAAACGAACGACATTTGGGAAAATGATGACGTTAGGAAAATCACATCGTTCAGTGACTTTAGAAGTATGACGATATTGGAAACAAAGGCACATCACTTGGTAGGCCTATGTTAGGAAAACAAACGTCATTTGGGAAAATGATGATGTTAGAAAAATCACATCGTTCAGTGACTTTAGAAGTATGATGATGTTGGAAACGAAGGCACATCACTTGGTAGGCCTAAGTTAGGAAAAACGAACGTCATTTGGGAAAATGACGACGTTAGGAAAATCACATCATTCAGTGACTTTAGAAGTATGACGATGTTGGAAACGAAGGCACATCACTTGGTAGGCCTAAGTTAGGAAAACGAACGTCATTTGGGAAAGTAGGCCTAAGTTAGGAAAACGAACGTCATTTGGGAAAATGACGACGTTAGGAAAATCACATCGTTCAGTTACTTTAGAAGTATGACGATGTTGGAAACGAAGGCACATCACTTAGTAGGCCTAAGTTAGAAAAACGAACGTCATTTGGAAAAATGACGATGTTAGAAAAATCACATCGTTCAGTGACTTTAGAAGTATAACGATGTTGGAAACGAAGGCATATCACTTGACGTTAGGAAAATCAAATCGTTCAGTGACTTTAGAAGTATGATGATGTTGGAAACGACGTCATTTGGGAAAATGACGACATTTTAGGAGAGCAACACATCACATTGTAGGTTACTATTAGAAGACCATCAGCAATCAGAGATAGAATTAACACGATAATAGTCCCACTATCCTATTAAAGAGGATTAGTAAGGGAAATTTGGAGGAGATGAAATAAAGAAATCAGTACCTTTATTTGCTTCTTCTCCCGCAGCAAGGTACATTTGATGATGAAGTCTACGGGTAATATTTCTTCAAAAATTTATCGTTAATAGGCGTCATAAGTTTGTCGCCATCTTTGGTGATAAGATGATAGGCCCCATTTGAGTAGACAGTTTCTACTACAAATGGCCCTTCCCACTTTGGCTCAAACTTTCCTTTCTTTTTGAAGTTCAAAATCATCGGGCGTCGAGCTGCAAGAACCAAGTCGCCTTCCTTAAATGTGTGGTATTTAACCTTCTTATCAAATGCTCTAGAAATCCGAGCTTGATAAAGCTTAATGTGTTGCTGAGCCAATAGTCGCTTTTCATCAAGCGCTTCTAATTCTTCAAGACGTCGGCGATGACTCTCTTTCATCGTCATACCAATTACGAGTGCTATCCGCAAAGAAGGAATTTGGATCTCTAATGGTAATACGGCTTCACATCCGTATACCAAGGAATATGGTGTCGCTCCTGTCGGCGTTCGAACTATTGTGCGATAAGCCCACAAACTCTGACCTAATTTCTCGTTCCAATCTCTTTTGTTCGTTGAGACCACTTTAGTGAGAATTCTAATGATGATCTTGTTAAATGCTTTTACTAGCCTGTTAGCAGCAGGATTATAAGTCATTGAAGCTAAATTCTTGATCCTGAATTTGTCACAGAATCGGGTGAAATCTTGGCTAACGAATTGGGGCCCATTGTCATGAATGATACGTCTCGGAACGTCGTACCTATATACGATGTGATGTTTTAAGAATTTAATAACATCACTCATTTTGACTTCTCTCAACAACGTCGTACCTATATACGATGTGATGTTTTAAGAATTTAATAACATCACTCATTTTGACTTCTCTCAACAGGATTGCTTCTACCCATTTAGAAAAATAATCAGTTATCGCTAAAATGAAGCGATGTCCTTTGGAAGAAGGTGGTGTCACTGGTCCAACAATGTCCGTTCCCCACGTTTCGAAAGGCCATAAAGTGGTTGAAGGATGAAGATGCTCGGGCGATTGATACATGTAATTAGCATGTATCTGACAGGCGTGGCATCGTTTGGCATAAGCAACAGCATCTTGTACCATGTTAGGCCAATAATAACCTAATCTACGTAGTCGGTCCCACAACTTAGGACCGGGCTGATGAGCTCCACAAACACCGCCATGAGCCTCTTTAAGGGCTTCTTTTGCTTCTCTATTCGACAAACAGCAAAGCAAAAGTCCATCGTCCGACTTTCGATACAAAATTTGGGATTGAGAATCATAGAAGAATCTAGGTTCTCGTCTACGAATAGATTCTCTTTCTTTGATGTCTTCCAGCAATAAGCCGTATAAGACATAATCAATGATCGGAAATCGTCAATCTTTAGGTTCGAGTGTTGAAGGTTCCGCTTCAACTGCCTTAATCTGCAGTGCATACTTTGATTTGAAT